CGCTGCCGGGGCGCCGGGCTCGCCTGTCATCCCCCGGGACCAGCCGCTTGTCCTCCGAGGCCCGCGAGGAACTACGGCGCCGTCTCCAGGGCCTCATCGAAGACAACCGAGTGATGATCTTCAGCAAGAGCTACTGTCCGCATAGCACGCGGGTAGGCGGGGCGGGGCGGGGGCGGGCCTGTCCTTCCTCTTGCGCTCTCGGACCTTAGGACTCGGGCGGAGCGCTGCCTGTTCCGCCCTCGGATGCACACCCGCGAGGCCCCACGACTTCTCGGAGGACCGGGGCTTGGGACCCGCTTTCTGGGGTGTTACCCAAAGCCAGGACGGGGACCTTCCGCTCGGCCCCTTTGGCTCCGACGGAGAGGCGGTCGCGGACTTGTTCCGGGACTGTGGCCTGTGGGGTTAACGCTCGTCCTCTCCCTCCTGGTTGTTAGTCTGATGTTGGCTTATTTATTAAGTGTTTATTCGGAAGAATAAAAGATGTATCAGAAACCTTCTGGCCTGATAAGAGTAGTGCAAGGAATGGCCAGGACTTGGGAGGAGTAGACTAGAGCTGGAGTCAGACCCATCTAACTCCCCGCGTGACCTTGAGCCGGTTACGGAGCTCCGCGGGGAAGGGTGTGAGGATGGTGGGAGGTGATGGGTAATTTCAGCAGATTTCACACTACCTTAACTTCGGGGGCTAACTGGGAATCCAGCATTTTTATAGGCAAAATTGTTCTGGGTTTTAAAATAACTCACTTAGAAATGAACCTTTGGAAGGTAAACCCATCGAATGCTAGGGACTTTTAATATTTTCAACTATGCTTCACATTATCAGAAAGTTGAAATGGAATGTGCAGAAGCACAAATTATTGGGTAGGTTGGTGAAATTTTACGCTGTCTTTTCACATTTGTTTTCAAGTTTACATTGCCTTCTGTGTTGTTTCATAAAGTATGCATATCATGAAATACAGCTTAAAGAATAAAGAAACAGACTAGTACTCGGGAAGCCTCCTTGGATGTCTCTCCCTGATTACATTCTCCTCTCCCCTCAGAGTGAACCACTCTCCAAAATTTCTTGCTTTTCTTTGCAGTTTCACCAAATTCACATATAATCCTGAAAATGTTTTGTTCCTTTGGCCTGTTTTGGTACTTTATGTAAGTAGAATCATACATATGTATTCCTTTGCTGTTTTTCTCTCTCACCAGTTAAGTTTTACACATTGGTGCATGTTAGTTTCTGTAGCTGAGGTTTGTTAATTTTCATTACTGTAACATTCCCTAGGATAAATCATACCTCAGTTTATTGATTCTGCCGTTGCTACTTTTTTGCTCTTTAAAAGCAATACAGCTATGCCTGTTCTTGCACATATCTCCCAGTGCATATGTAAGACTTACTTTACAGTAGATATCTTGAAGCTGAATTGCTGAACCATAGAGGATGCATGACTTCTCCCTTAACTGGGTGTAGCCAAACTGTGTTTCCAAGTGGTTATACCAATTTATTCTCCCACTGGCACTGGGTAACAGTTCTCCTTTGCTTCATGTCCTTGACAAAAGTTGATATATTTAATTATTGCCATTCTGGCAATTATGAAGTGGTATTTCACTGTGGCTTTAATTATACATTTCCTGATGAAGTTGAACATCTTTTCATGTGATTCTGGGCCATTTGAGTTTCCTCTTCTATGAAACTTCCAGTCCTTTTGCTTTTTTCTCTATCAGGTGGTTTTGTCTTTGTACTGATTTGTAGGTGTTCTTTATATGTTTTGGATATAATCCTTTGATTATATGTATTGGAAAACCTCCCAGATTTGTTTTTTCCTCTTACACTCTTTATGAGATCTTTTGGTTAACTGAAGTTTGCAAGTTTAATGTAGTTGCATCTATCACCTTTTTCCTTTTATGGTTTGTGGGTTTTGTGTCTTATTTAAGAAATCAGTTTCTGCTGCTTTCTCATTTTTCTGGTATGCGCACTATGTGTATGTTAATGTGCTTAATGGTGTCCCGTGTTTCTCTGAGACTGTCTGTTTTTATTCATTCCTTTTTTCTCTGCCTGTTCAGGTTGCATAATCTCTATTGATCTGTCCTCAAGTTTACTAATTCTCCTGCCAATTTGAATCAACTGTCGAGATATTCCAATCACCTTTTCATGTTATTTTTGTAATTTTTAACTTTATAATGTTTCTTGGGTTGTTTTTTCATCATTTCTATCTGTATATTGATATTTTCTGTTGGATTAGACATTATCATTATACTTCCCACCATCTCTTGAAATGGTGTTCTTCAATTCTTTGAACATAGTTAAAGTGGCTACTTTGACTATTTGGTGTGACATCTGGGCCTCTCACAGTTTCTCTTGCCTGACTTTTTTCATGTGAAGGGATCCACTTACCTGTTTCTTAGTATGACTGGTAATTTTTTGTTGAAATCTGGACATTTTAGGTAATATATTGTAGCAAGTTTAGATACTGGACCCCTCTTTCTCTGTAGCTCCTTTGTTTGCTTGTTTATTTCCTTATTTTGAGTTGGCTGGTTTGATTTAGGGATGTTTATTTCCATCCAGAGATGAAGCCTTTGATGTCACTCCTCAGAGAGTGCAGCCTTGAGTATGTACACAGCCACCCTGGGATGACAGGGATTTTAGCAGCGCTCTTGTCTGTGTTATATTTTTTTTCTCTCTACTGGTATCAGACCCAGATATTATGCAGCATTAATTTCAGGCTGGTTGTGCTATTATTTCTTACAATGTCCTGGAGGGTAAATTGTTCCACACTCTTATCTAATTAAATCTAGGCCCCTTTGCAGAGATAGTTTTCATGGCAAGTTTAAGACTATTCTTATCCTAGAAATACTATTATTCTTAGCTCTCTCTTTCTCTGTTTCTTTTTTTTTTCTTTATTATTTTCTTCTTTCTGGTAAACTAACTGTCTTACAGATTAGCTTATTGTTCTCCTGGAACTACCAGCCTCCTCTTCATTGCTTATCATTAAAATTCCCATTATTTTCAAGACCACATTTGGACTTGAACTTCCACACAGTTTAAAATAAAGTAATTTCCTTTGGGTAGAGCTTCTGAACTCTCTGATCTTATGGTTTACCTCTTTCCCTGAGCAAAACCTCTGAGACCTTGCTCCCAACCTGGAACTTCACCCTACAAGTGGGCTGAGGCCAGGGTGATCAGGTCCTTGGTATTTCAGCCTGAGTGTGGCTGGGTGAAGGAAGGGGGCCCCATGTTTTTGGCCACACTCGTCAGGAATGTAGCCTTTGCCACTCAGAGCTGTGGGGAGACTGGGAAATGCTGGTGGTCCACCCCTTTTGATGACTAGATATCAGGGACTTGGCTACTCACTTGAAGTGGAGCTTCTATCAAGCGGACCCAGGACAGAGGAGAAAGGGTGTGGATTAAGGCTTAAGTGCCTCAGACTCTGCCTGTTTATGTTGGCATCTAGTAGATTTTCTTGAATACATGTTTCTTCATTTGTTGTGTGCCCTTAGGTCAATTTCCAGAGACTTTCAATGGTTATTTTTAAAATAATTTCACCAGTTGTGGATGTTTTGTTAGGGAGTGAATCTGCCAGGCTCCTTGTCTCCATCCTGGAATCAGAACCTCTCTGGGCTTTAGAGGACCTTGAAGGGTTTAAGTAATGGCAAAAAGTAGACTTTAGAGTCTACTTTTGGTTGCAATTTAGAGAACTGGAAGGGACAAAGCTGGTTGCAGAGAGAACTCCGAGGATGTTACTGAGAAACTGCTCAAATTAAGATAGCAACTGTTGGGAACTAGAAAGGTGAAGTAGCTCAGCAAAGGATTGATACAACTTAGTAATTAATTGGATGGATGGGGAGTTAGTGTAGGGTAGGAAGATGTTGCAAAAGAGGGAGGCATTAAAATGACTCATGGGTAGTGCTTCACAAAGTTGTTAAAATGCAGGTTTTGATCCAGGACCTGATTCCATGTCTCATAAGCTGCTAGGTGATGCCTGTGCTGCTGGTCCTCTGTCTCCTGTTTACATAGCAAGGCCCTAGGATTTCTTCTTGTTCAGGCAGCTGGTGAATAGTGGCAGTGTGAATTGTCAATTTATTTGTCTGTTTCCCCTCCCGGAGGCAGGGATTGTGTCTTACTCATTGTTATCGCTTGACTACATAATAAGTATTTGATGGATGAATTTTTGTTGAATGCTTTAATGACTATAGAAAGGAAACACAAAAAGAGGAAAATGTATGTAGGAAATGATGAGTTTTATTTTGGGCATATTGCATGTGAGATGCCTGGAGACATTCAGGTGAAGAAATATTTTTTGCCAGTCTTGAGTTCCGAAAAGGGATTTGGGCAAAAGTTGAAAGTTGAGGTTTCAAATGGTAAAATAAGGGAAGAGATGGGCTGAGATTATTCTGGGAAGATGTATAGAGGAAGGGAATAAAAAAAATAAACCGCTCTGGCTGAGTGGCACAGTTGGCTGGAGCATCATCCCACACACCAAAGGTGGAGGGTTCAATTCCCAATCAGGGAACGTACCTAGGGTGTGGTTTCAATCCTTTGTTGGGGCACATATGGGAGGCAGTTGATCAATGTTTCTCACATAGATGTTTCTCTCTTTCTTCCCCTTCCTCTCTCTCTAAAATATATCAATAAAAACATATTCTCAGGTGAGGATTAAAAACAACAAACAACCAGAGTCTAGAGCTCATACTTCTGAAGAACATTTATTTTGGACATCTTCATTACTGTATCCATATTTCATAACTCTGTTGACTCTGAGAGTAAAAGCAAATTTTTGTTACAGGTTAAAGAACTCTTTTCTTCTTTGGGAGTTGAATATAATATCTTGGAACTTGACCAAGTTGGTAAGTGAAATGGTTAGTACATACTGTTGTTTCGGTAAATGTCAACAAGATTGACTTCTTTGCATTTGCTTTGTTCAATTCAGTTTACTCTTGTCTCTTTGGGTTACATGAGCTGTTTTTATCTACATTCAACCATGTAGAAAATGAACCTCTCTATATAGGACAGATAATTTGGTGTAGTTTTTTCATTTATATACTAGAGGCCAGATGCATGAAATTCGTGCAAGAGTAGGCCTTCCTTCCCCCGGTTGCCAGCACCAGTTTCCCTCTGGCACCGGAGACCCAGGCTTCCCTCTGGCACCCAGGACCTGGGCTTCCCTCCGGCTGCTGACATCCGGGACCTGGGACCCGGGCTTCCCTCATAGCCTTGGCTTCGTCCAGAAGGTCGTCTGGTCTAATTAACATATTATGCTTTTATTATTATAGATTTTTGGTATTTGAGGGGAGGAGAAAGATATATAAGCTGCTAACCTTGAAGCACTTCAGGCATTTCAGATGTATCTGGTAACTTTCTAGCAAAATAGATTAAGCTGTAATAAATGAAAAGAATCTGCTCCTATTTCCTGATTGAAGTACCTATGAGGGAGAACACATTAATCTTTTAGCTTTCACTTTTGAATTCTTGTCAGACATGCATTAATTATCTAATATTAATTGAGCACTTTACATATGCATGTGTTTTGCATAGGTGGGAGACAGAGTGGTGAACACAAAAAAAATTGATATCTGCCTTCATGGGACTTCACCAACTCCTTTTAAACAGGCACCTTAATTAGTGAAATGTTCTTAAGTCTGTGAGACTTTTCTAAAGAGCATACCCAATAGTTTTAGGTAGTTGTGGCCTGGTTTTATTTTTAGGGATAGAGGACAGATTTTGGACTATGATCATAAGGATTTTTCAAATATAATTGTAAGAAATATTTTCGAAGTTATTACTGTTGATATTTGCTATTTAAAGAGGATTTTATCTTGATATTAGCTGTTTAAAGAGGATTCTTTTCTTAACCAAGAAATTGTATATCAGAATCTAACTTAGAAGGGTTTGTTTTCAAAGGAATCAGTTACTTCATCTGTATTCTCAAAGGTGTCTCTTGAAAACCTGGATGTTTTCCCTTTTGAGTCATTATTTCATAAAGTAATATAATACGCTGACCTTGTATGGATGTGTATGTGGGAGCATTTAAGTATTGTAACACTTCATTTTGACTCACAAAGGTTTGGAACCCTTTCAGTGTTTTTATATATTTAATTTTTTATTCTTTAGATGATGGGGCCAATGTTCAAGAAGTGCTGTCAGAGATCACTAATCAGAAAACGGTGCCCAATATTTTTGTGAATAAAGTACATATGGGTGGATGTGACCGAACTTTCCAGGTAATAATGGTATTATGTGTTTTTGAATGCTGTTTGTTCAAATTTTGTTTTTAAAAATATTTAAAATGGGATAAAATGATTTTTAGGAATCTATTAGTCTTTTGGAAGTTGTAAGATGAAAAGTGTATAGGATGCTTATCAGATAACTTTGATTATTACTTTGACAGAAATTAGCTTTTCTACCAACTCAGATTTCAGAAACTAAGAAAGAGAAGGCTTTGAGTAAGGTTATCAGACAACCAGGTGGACCACCCTGGAGACCTTGGTCTTTTCTTCCTGATGGGGGAAAAAACAAGGTCTGTTCTTTTTTAAGGTTTATTAAAATGAGGTCAATGCTAATGTTCTTGGCTAGGGTAAGTAGAATTTCTGTCAAGGTTGCTAACCCTGTGAGCTTTGCAAAGGTCCATGCCTTTGAATTTTTGATTCCTAGAATGCAAAAATAAACAGGAATCATTTAGTTAAACAGTAGTAGATAAAAACTGATGTTTATTAAATAAGGTTCTTATTTTATAACTAGTTATTTACTTTTATTAAAATTCTGCTCTCTTATATTCTTTATGTATGTATGCAAATGATAGTAATCAGTGATTGGTTAAGTACTTATATCTCAAATTTTTAAAAAATATACATTGATTAATTTTTAGAGAGAGGAAGGGAGAGGGAGAAGGGAGAGAGAGAGATAGAAACATTACTAAGAAATATTGATCGGCTGCCTCCTGCAACACCCCCTACTGGGGATCAAGCCTGCAACCCGGGCATGTGCCCTGACTGGGAATCGAGCCAATGACCTACCTCTTGGTGTATGGGTTGATGTTCAACTGCTGAGCCACACTGTGCTATATCTGAAATTATAATTAAAATTATATTTTTCTTGGGGGAAAAAGATGATCTACATTGTATCTTACTCTTATGATTAGTATTGTTAATCTAGTAACAGTCTGTTGTATTAGTCCTAGAAACTATAACTCAATTCACATGGTGGTAAGTACTATAATCATAGACCCTAAACACCTTCAGGAATGCTGGTCTTGCCAATCCTAATGTAGAAAATGGTGACAGAGGATGAATCTGGAGATGCAGAGATAGTCACTCTATTTCAAGATTAAAAGGCCTAGGAGACAGATTTCTCTCATGGCACCTAAAAGTAAGGAGGCCAAAGGAGTTCTTTTTAGAATGTGCTGAAAGCCTCTATTGGCATCCATCCTTCAGTGGGCCACATTACATCCATTGAGTCCTGTAGTTTCATAGCACTTCTGTTGTGCTTCCCAGGATGAGCTGGTTCTAGCATGGTATTTCTAAAGCCCACATAATAGGATTGAGCAACTAATTATCATATAAAGAAAACTATTGCTAAATCACATTTGATCCTCTAACCTCATTTAAGCTACTTCTGATCACAAGAAGGGCCAAATGAATAAGAGAATATAGTGAAGAGCCAGACTCATGATCATTGTTGAAAGAGAAAACAAAATGTATATTTTATATAGGAAATTTATCAATAAGCTGCAAATTTTAGATCAATTTATGAGAAACCATGAGAAATTTGAAGTCCGTGTCCTACTGAGGATGCATAAGAATTTTTTTTTAGAATATATTTTATTGATTTTTTTACAGAGAGGAAGGGAGAGGGATAGAGAGTTAGAAACATCAATGAGAGAGAAACATCGATCAGCTGCCTCCTGCACACTCCCTACAGGGGATGTGCCCGCAACCAAGGTACATGCCCTTGACCAGAATCGAACCTGGGACCCTTGAGTCCACAGGCCGATGCTCTATGCACTGAGCCAAACCGGTCAGGACAAGAATTTTTTTCAAAAGGAATCCTAGCACAGGTGAACAAAATGTAGAGGAGAGTGGTATTTGGCTATTTTATTGTGCTTGGGTATAATATTTTAACACGTTAAGCACCCAGCCTGTTTTGTCTTCCGGAGGGAAAGTATAGTGTCAGTCACCGGTGACTGGGCGCTTAACGTGTTAATGATTAGGCCAAAGAAAAGGACCTCATCTAACAGATATAAAGCCATGACCTCTGGGTCATTTGACACATGCCTACCTATCAGGAGATAACAAACATGTACTTTGGCATATACTCTAACTAGTTGGACTTTATTTGAATACCATTCAGATAAATTTAAATTCCAGTTTACATGAATTGTAGATTGTTTCTAATCCTATATAATAAAAGGGTAATACTATGCAAATTGACCCTAATGGGGGAACGACCGGTCACTATGATGTTCACTGACCACCAGGGGGCAGACACTTAATGCAGGAGCTGCCCCCTGGTGGTCAGTGCACTTCCACAGGGGGAGCACCACTCAGCTAGAAGCCAGCCTCCATGAGGGGGAGCGGGCCTAAGCCGTTAGTCGGACATCCCCCAAGGGCTCCCAGGTTACCAGAGGGATGTCTGACTGATAGCTTAGGCCCAATCCCCCGGGGAGTCAGTCGGACATTCCCTGAGGGGTCCCGGACTGTGAGAGGGCACAGGCCAGACCATGGGACCCCCTTGAGTGTACAAATTTTCATGCACCGGGTCTCTAGTATTTTTTTTTTAATATATTTTATTGATTTTTTACAGAGAGGAAGGGAGAGAGATAGAGAGCTAGAAACATCGATGAGAGAGAAACATCGATCAGCTGCCTCCTGCACATCTCCTACTGGGGATGTGCCCGCAACCCAGGTACATGCCCTTGACTGGAATCGAACCTGAGACCCTTCAGTCCACAGACCGACGCTCTATCCACTGAGCCAAACCGGCTTCGGCTCTAGTATTTTTATAAGAGAAATCCATGCTGATTAAACATAGGGTAAAAAGAAACAGTTTTAAAACAAGTCATCCCATATTCTCTCATTAAACCATAGGCACATCAGAGTGGTTTATTACAGAAGCTTCTTCAAAAAGAGTCAACATATGATTATGACCTCATTGTCATTGGCGGTGGTTCTGGTGGCCTTGCATGTGCTCAGGTATGAAAAAAGTAAAACTTGAAGATAATTTCCCTGATGATTGTCATAAGACTTTTCTTCTGCTACTTAAAAAAAAAGCCAATTTTAATGTTACAGTCCAAGCTTTTATTGTAATAGCTGGTTTAATAAAGAGAAAAGACTATGTTATGACACAAACACAGCCTTTTTATTTAGGAATAGAAAAATTGGGGGGAGGAAAATGACAAGATCTTTATATGTCACTGTTTTCCCTAGGAAGCTGCCATTTTGGGAAAGAAAGTAATGGTGCTAGATTTTGTGGTCCCGTCACCTCAGGGTACATCCTGGGGTAAGCTGTTTTTCTTTGTTGTTCTGTGCTCTTTACATACATTTTTGCTTTGTTTAATCTCATTTAATCCTCACAACAATCTCAGGAGGTATGACTAGCCTGTTCCATAGGTGAGGAAACTGGGTCTTAGTGAGGTAAAGTAATTGTCCTAAGACCATCACATAGTTAACAAGTGCTTAGGGAGGATTTAAAAAAAAATAATTCCATGACCTAGTATTCCAACACTTTTGCCATAATAATTTTTACACACATGCATTTAATACTTTCACATAGTTGTGATTGCAGTGTAAACTGTGTCATGCTCACTTAAGTTTGCTGTAACATTTTTTTGTGTTTCTGCATTGATTTAATAACTGACTTTCATGGCTGTATGATGGTCAGTTGAATAGTGTGTGTGTGATTGTTCCAAGTCAGTTTGAAATGCACAGTGAGCTTAAGGCCTTTGACTTTGCTGTAGACGAGAGTGCTTACCTTTCCACATTCTTTCCACTATAAAATAGAACACATAGATTTTGTGCTGGATATTTTCTGTTTATGCTTTAATCCCATTCTTTATGGTCTCTACCCTGTTTTATATCCCAGAAGGCTGATGAATTGGTATCTTGACCTCTGGCTTCTGGTTGGGCTTGGCCATTTGGGGAAATGGGAGGAGGATGGAGTGGGGGTCTTCATTTTCTTGGTTCCCTCCCTTGGTTGCTGCAAGCTGGTTCCATCCCCTACGGAAAGCCACAGCCCCTCTTTGGTCTGTAGCACCTACTCGGTGTGCTTAGTCCTTCATGTAGGGTTGGTGATGAGCCCACTGTTAGTAGTTGTTACTGCTGTTCTATCGCTCCTTGCTTTTCTTGTCCATACCCCAGTAATAATTTCTCTATAAACTTAATTACCCAGCTTGAAGTTGTCATCTGTTTGCTGCCAGAGCCCTGAAAAAATATGAAAATTATTTTTAAAAATTCAACTTTACTAAAAAAATTATAGCCAAGAATTTTATATTAGTAAAGCTAATTTGCATTGCAGTGGACCTACTATTGGCTCAGAGGAGTCAGAGTTACAAAGAGAAAAGTCTGGAATCTGGGATTCTGGCCACTGGTTTAGTATATACCAGGTGTACTGGTTAATAATGCGGATTTTTTACAATAGATAGAATTACACATATGTTGATATATATATATATATATATATTTTGTTGTATTGACAATAAGCTTCAAAACTTCATATGTCAACCCTGACCGGTTTGGCTCAGTAGATAGAGCATCAGCCTGCGGACTGAAGGGTCCCAGGTTCGATTCTGATC